AACAGTACTGACGTGACATCTGCAGGTCATCTCGTTGCTGCTGGCGGAGGGCGCCGACAGCGACCTGCAGTCCTCCAACGGTCACACGGCGCTGCACAACGCGGCGGGGGGCGGGCACGTGACGGCGGTGGAGGCGCTGGTCACGGGGGGCGGGGATCTGGACGTGCAGAACAGCAATGGCAACACGCCGCTGCACACGGCAGCATCAAAGGGTGGGTCGGGGGGGGGGAGAGGAGATTCCGCGGCGGGGGAAAGTTTGGGTGTGCGCTTTTTTGGGGGGGAGAAGAGGGGGAGGGAGGGAAAGGCTTTGGATGGTTTTAGTGTTTTAGACGTTGGGAGTTAACGCGAGGAGAGTAATTGTAATGATGATAAGAAGAAATGACAATGCAATAACAATAATATAATAATTGTTAATAGATTATTATTATTGTTATTGGCGACCTGCTGACGGAAAGAGCAGAAACCCCGAAACCCTAAGAATGCCCGGGAGGGGTGAGTGAGTCCAGGGCCATAGCGCGGGGTACAGGGTTGAGTGGTTTGGGGTGCGGAGGGTTACGAGGGTTAGCAAGGAAAGTGTGTGTGTGTGTGCGCGTGTGCGTGTGTGTGTGTATGTATGTGTTGTACCTCCACCTTTCACATTAACGAGAGCAAGTGGTTCGTTAATCTTTTCGTTTTAAAGAAAATTTCATGTCTTGCCCCTTCCCTCTTCTCTCTTTCCTCTTTCCTCTTGCCTTCCTAATGCATCCCGTTTCCTCTTCGCACAATCACACTTCCCTCCCATCTTCCACGATCATTCGCCTTTACCGTTTCATGCAGTTCGAGAACGCTTTATGTTTTTTCTCTCCATTTAATTTGTTTCGAAAACTGTTATCCTCTGAAACGGAACTCAAAACCAAAATTAAGCCCTTCAAAAACCATTTTTCAAAAATCTTTTGAAAAACTCCCTCAAGGCTATTTGGATGTGGTGTCTCAGCTGCTCGGGGGGGGAGCCGACCTGCACATCCGCAATTCCAAGGGCTGGTGTGCCGTACACAGCGCCGCCAGTAACGGCTACTTTGAGGTGGTGCTCAAGCTGGTGCAGGTAATGGAGAGGGAGGGGGCGGGGGGAGGGGTCGCATGTGTGTCGCGTATGGAACCGGGGGGTGGGAGTCTGACACGCCCTTACCTTACTGAGAACATGAGCCTCTCTGCACGGGGGGAAGGGGAGGCCCGTTTGGGGGACCCTAAGGGGCCTTTTCCTCCCTCCCTCCCCCCAGGGGTCGTGGTTCGTCTTACCTCCCCTTCGGGTCCGGTCTCCTCCCTAAACCTGTCCCCTCCTATACCTAAATATCCTTAAAGGTCTCCCTTTCGTTACTCCCCCACCGAAATGCGATAAATGCAAACTTACGTATATACATACATACACGTATACATACGTACATACAGGCGGGTGCCAGCTGGCGGCGGCAGGGTGAGGCGGACGTGGTGCGCTTGCTCACTCGCAAAACGACCTACAAGACCTCGTACGTGGAGGGCCGGCTGAGGCTGGCGGAACGGGAGCGACACAGGATCAACCAACAGCAGCAGCAGCAGCAGCAGCAGGCGGCCGGCGTCAGGCAGGGCGTGGCCGCAGCCGCTGGGGCGGTTACGGCGATTGCCGGCGGCGCGACGGCGGGAGCCGTAGCCACGGGTGGAGGTGCAGCGTTGGATGGCGGCAGCGGCAGCGGCGGCGGCGGAGCCGCCGCCGCCGCCGCCGCCAGCGGCGCGGCGGCATCAGCCGGCGCCGGTGCCAAGCGGCAGCCGAAGGCTATCGGCGTGTCGTCCGCGCCCAGCTTTGAGGTGCGTGTGGCGGCGGGGGCATGAGGGTCTCATGTCGGGGGCGTGTCGTCGGCTATAGCTGGGATTGTTGCCGTAAGGTGTCGTTGCCGAGCACGGTTGCGACATTTTTGCGCAGGATCTGGCGGCGGCGGCGGATGCTAACATGGCGGCGCTGTTGGAGGAGGAGGAGGCGGCGGCCGCCGCCGCCGCGGCGGCAGCGGAGCGGAAAGCCAAGCAGAAGAAGAAGAAGGCGAGCAAGGCGGCGAGCAAGTCGGCGGCCGCTGCGGGCTCCACTGCGACGTCTAATACTACTGATTCATCGCCATCGCCACAACCGCCAAGTAGTGCAACGAGTACGACAACCCCAGCTACGCCTGCGTCGTCGTCGTCAGTGTCGGCGGTATCTGTTGGTGCCGGCAGTGGCAGTGGCAGTGGTAGTGGTAGTGGTAGCGATATTGCCGCCGCTGGCGGCACCAGTACGACTCGACGGCCAGGGAAAGAACAACAACAACAACAACAACAACAACAACAACAACAACAACAACAACAACAACAACAACAACAGCAGCAGCAGCAGGATGGGGGACGGTCGCAGTTCTTGCCAGCAGCGGCAGCAGGAGGAGGAGGAGGGGGAGGGGCATCCACCCCGAGGGGACAGACCGAGGGATTGAACGGTGCTGCAATTGCGGCTTCTGGCGGCGGCGGCTCCGAAACTAGACCTCGTGCTGCCGTTAGCGGCGGTGGCGGCGGCGGCGGCGGCGGCGGCAGCGCCGGAGCTGCAGCTGGCGCTGGTACGGGCGCGAGTCCACCTGCCGGAGCCGGCGCCTCGGCGACGCAGGCCCGTTCTTCCGGACTCCCTTCCCCCGTCGTTGCCGTACCTCCGGGCAGTAGCAGCACCGCCGCTGGGCAGAAGACCGCCGCCGCGCCCAGTGCCATTTCCCCAGCCCACCCTGCGGGTCGAGGCAGCGGCTGCGCTGCCGTTACACCCACTTTCGTAACCAGTGCACCGTCGTCCAAGTCCTCCAAGTTGTCTGCTGCTGGCGGCGGCGCTGGCTCTGGCTTTAGCCAGCGGTCAGGCGCAGCCAGAGGCCCGGTGGCGGCAGGCCCGGCAACTGGCATCGCCGTCGTCGTCGGCGGCAGTAGCGGCGGCAGGGGGAGCGCCGCCACATCTCCGCCTTCCTCCGGTGCGTCAGCCCCGGCCTCTCCGGATAAAGTTCCCCTCAGCAGCAGCAGTGGCGGCAGCAGCAGTAGCAGCAGTAGTGCACTCCGGTCTAGTACTGATCGATCCCTTCCTGGAGGCAGCGGACCCATCGTACAACAGTCCGCTGGCGCCACAGCAGCCTCTACAGCCGCGGCCGCCAGCTACGGTTCTGGATCTGGATCTGGCGTTGGGCCGGTGGGCCGGCCTAAGGGGCAAGCGGCCGCCGCCGCGGCGGCTGCCGCTGCCGCCGCCGTGGCCACTCCCAACGGTCCACGAGTTTATGCTGTCAAGTCATTGTCGACGGACAATTCCGAAGGCGCCGCCACCGGCGCCGTCGCAAACGGCCTGGGACTGACAGGTACGGCGGCGCCGACTGGGCCGACGGCAGCAGCCGCCGTTGAGGGGAGGCAGAAGGCGGCGGCAGGTGCTACTGCAGCCATA